TCAATTGACTTGAGAACTTTTCTTTTAAAGATGAGTGATAATACATTTCAACAGCAAGTCACCCATCTAGTAGAACACCCCGAGTTTCTTCAATATATCAAAAGTCTCCCTGTCTATCATGACCCACTTGAATTAGATTATTTGAAAAGTGCCATGAAGAGAAAGAGCTTTACTCCACTAATCGAAACCCTTGAGAAACTGATATATGTTCCTGGTAAAATAGTTCCATACGGTTCGTCTTATTTTGATTTTTTTGATGGCCAAAACGACGTTGACACAACATTTTTAACAAGTGAATTTCCAACGGCGTATGTGGTGAAACAAAACGAAGACGCTTTTAATTACTACAAAGAACAAAAGAGCCAAAAATTAAGTGTAGCTTATCAAGTTTTCAACTGTCTCCAACAGATGTCCAAGACCGAAGAAGTGAATATGAAAAATTTAGTGATAGTAGACAGAGCGTTAGTTCCAATTATTAGTTTGACTTTAAACGGGTGTGACGTCGATATCTCAATCGACAATTTTGATGGTATTTATAACTCTGAGATCGTCAAGTCGTACTTTTCAGTCCATCCTAAAGTGCGCGCCTTCGTGCGGGAAGTCAAACAGTTCCATAAAGAAAACAAATTGATCAATCCAAAGAATGGTTTGTTTAATAGTTTCAGTATAGTTCTTTTGGTTCTTTTCTTCTTATTAAACAAGGAGTTACTTCCTGAGCTTCAAAATGAGGAGTTAATGACTAAGACGTGTGATGGGCACAAGATTAGAGAATACAAAAGTGTCTGTTCGACGTGTCCGGTGAAGTGGTTTGAATGTGAAAAGTGTTATGAGAATTATAGAAAGAAATGGGATGTATTATTATTAGACGATTTGCTGGTCGAGTACTTTGCTTTTTATTTGTCCTTTGACTTCACAAAGAAAATCACAATCTTCCCGTCTTATTTCAAAACACCCGAAAACGAAAAATCAAGCATCTCCGTCATCTCACCATTTTTACCTTTTTTAAACTTAACTAGAAAATTCGATACACAATTAGTTCAATTATTAAATTGTTATAGAATCGCCGCTGGGTCGTTTTCTCAAAAATTGTCAAATTGCGTTTTTGCAATTGCTTTTGAGGGAGATATACCTCAACTACTCACTCATCTCGAAGATTATAAATGCACAGACGCACTCTACTTTTATCCACAAAGCGATGACCAAAATATCGTTTTTGTAAAATTCTTGACCAAAGCTCTCTGCTCAAAATTCGTTAAAGATTTCAACTCAAAATTCACTCACAACATCAAATCTATTCAGTTGGTTAATTTCAACATTATCACCTTCGTTCCGTCATTCGAAATAGCTATTAAATATACTAAAAAATACAATTAATTTACTATATGAAATTTTCCATTTTACTGTACTATTTATTATCACATTATTGTTATTATTATATGATACATAATTTTAAATACTACCAAATAAATACTATTAATTAATTAAAACTATACTATTAATGATTAGTAATGTTCAACTAAATAAATTATAACAAATAATTATTTGTTACGATAATAATAATATAACAAAAACCAGATGGGGAAACAACCGACAGTGCGTGACGGTATAAATAAAAAAAGAGAAAAACCCAAAAATAAAAAAAGAAAATGAGAAATAAATAAAAATGGTAGAGAGAGGTATTCCAACACAACAACCTCTTCAGTTTATTCAGACACAAAAAGATTTAACACCGGAGATCTTCAAAACATATTTTATACCATACACAACGTATAATAAAGAATTGTTTGTTAAGACTTTGAAAATGGTGTCTGTTGGCGACTATTACAAAGCAATTGAGAAACGATCGACGCTCTATTTTAAAATTATTTCGATGTACAAAGTACCACTGAATATTGACGAATTGATCCAATTGAATTTCTCACACGAAATTGTCGAGTTGATTTGTAACCAAATTCCTCAGAAAACACCAAACGATTTAAATTTAGACTACTTGTCGTTCTGGTATTTCTATTTGGCGCTCGGGACGCGTCATGACGTTTTCTTCACAATCGAAGTCATCATCTATTTCCACAGACTCTTTCTTTTCCCTCCATACGTCTTGTGCCAATTACTTCCACCAGTAAAATACATCCAAGAAATCCCTCCAAGAGTCGTCATCGATATTTTTCAATATGAGCACTTTGCTTGTCTCCTCCCCCTCCATTTGTATCAAGTTCTTCATGGTAATTTGATTGTTCCAGTCACGTTATTGGTACAACCTTGCCTCGTGCACTTCGCAAAGAACTTTACAAAAAACAGTGGGCTGTGCGAAAGACTCTCTTTCGACTTTTTCCCACTCAGTCTTGTCGACCCACTCATCCACTTGTTACCAAGAAAGGAAGCTCCCAAATTCCAAACCGCTTCACAGAAAAGAACAATTAACGACGTCCTCCAAAATTTACCGCCATGTATCTACCTCATTCATGCAAAGGCATCACATGGGGAACAAATGAAGTACGACGCGCGGCGGCAAATCGTCGTCTTTTTCAAAAATGCTGGTGTGGAGTTGAATGAAGCGATGGAATATATGCGCGCCAGACTCGATGTTATGCGAGGGAAGGAAAAAAAACAGCTCGAGTACTTCGTTGAGCACTGTTATGGCATGAGAGGAAATCACATCGACTTCAAACCGGATTTGTGTAAAAACTTGATGTCTCAATCCATGTGTATTGGTGGGCTTCACGGGTGCATTCTTTGTAAAAGGCAATACAACAATGAGTTCAGGAAAAAGTCTCTTGAAAGTTATTTGGAATACATAGGTGTCGAGATGTCCGACAAGGAGATGGTTGAGTTACTCCAGATGGAGGAGTGCAGTGCGTGTGCCCAACTCCTCAACATGAGCAGTAGAGGTGTTGGTGATATTGAAGAAATCAACTCACCCAATTTATTTTGTGAGTATAAGATCTCAAAGAAGGTCTGATTTTTCTTTCTATTTACTGGCTTTAACTATCTGTTTATTCTGTGCATTTAATCTTGGTGAGAAATGACAACATTTTTTTTGTTTAAAAACAAATGAACTATAATTTATAGTAATTTATATTATTTTTAATAGTTCAAATCCCTTATAAAATGTGATTTTTATTTGATGAGTAATCTCGAAAAGATAGAGATGAGTGGAATGAGTGAGTTTGCTCGTTATGACAACAAAACTACACGATGACAAATAGCAACAACATCATTCAGGGAGACAGTGGTAAGTTCACAAAAGAACAAGAACTTTTGTGGGAGGAAAAGGATGCGCTGAACAGGTCGCACGCATTGGCAGACATATTGATTGAGTTTGTTCATTCACAAATATTATTAGTTCAAAATAACTTACATAATAATTTATTTAACAATAATGCAATCAACTACATAGAAAAATAACAAGGAGCCAAGCTTTTGAAGACAATGCCTCGATGGATCGACAGACTTCATCAATGAATCGTGTGAATGACCGGATGAGTCAATACAAAGGGTCACTGCTTGACTCTGACAGAATCACCAAATGCATTTCATGGCATCAGTGCAAAAACACGATTGTGTTGGCATTAGTGTGTGCGTTATGTGTCTTCTTTTTAATCTGGTATGCATTCCTCTAATTATTATTTTATTTTATCTCCCCAAAATCGAGCCTTATATTTCATTTCATTCCAACATTCAGATCTTTTTCAATCACTTTTTTAATCTTTTTCTTTCATTTTATCGGAAATGTATTTCATTATGTTTAACATTTTTGTTGTTGTTATTCCGATATCTTATATAAATATATCAATATATTTTTTTCATTGCAAAAACATTTTTTTAATCTTAAATAACATTTTATTTTTGACCTTTTTAAACCATATTACTAGTAAAAAAATAGTAATAAAAAAAACTATCAAAGATTTTTATAAATCTATCTGACTTTTATAACAAAAACGTAAAAATGCTACTAATTTCTCAAAACGGCTCGAAACTAACAAAACTACCAATAAAAACTATTCAAAATACCAATAATGGCTCAGATTTGTGAACTAATAACGCATAGTACGGAAACCAACCCCAATAGAAAAGAAAAGGAAGAAGCGGAAAATTCGAAAGAGAACTTCAAAATGGCCCATGAACTCGAAACATTCAATGTCGTTCTTATTTAGTTCTCCCATCCAAATCGACATCCTTCTCGACAATGACCATGAGAAGGCGAAGATGACGAAGGTAGTCAACAAACAAAAAGTTGATATTCCGATATATATGCGGAACGAAGATGTCAGTGGGAAAGTGATGGTTACTTTAAAAGACAAGAAATTTGAGCATCAAGGGATTCGGATTGATTTTGTCGGAACGATCGAATATTCATACGACCGGAGCTCGACGTCGAACTTCATTCAACAGACTTTTGAGTTATCGCGCCCGACGATCATGACGGAGGAGAAGACGATGTTTCCCTTTAACTTTTCTGGGATAGATAAGAAGTATGATTCCTATGCTGGGAAGAATGTTCGTTTACGCTATTACTTACGGGTGACCGTGAATAAGAAGTATTCCTCAGGGATGAATAAAGAGATTGATATTTGGGTGGTCAATTATCAAGATCAACCACAGAAGAATGAGCCGATTTTAATGGACGTTGGCGTCGAGAAGTCAATTTCAATTGAATTTAAATATCGCAAATCATTTTATACTTTGAGCGACGTCGTCTTGGGTCAAGTCTACTTCAAAACTGTGCGTCTCCCTTTGGCTTCGATGGAACTCCAAATCTTGAGAAAAGAAACAACGGGTTATCCTCCTAATCAAACAGTCGAAACGGAAACACTCGCTAGATATGAATTGATGGACGGCGCTCCAGTCAAAGGAGAATCTATGCCAATTCGTGTCTTCTTGGCTAATTTGGACTTGACCCCTTCGTATCATAACATTAATAATATGTTCTCTGTGACTTATCACTTACACTTGGTACTCATCGAAGAAAACTCAAAGAGATACTTCAAGCAATGCGAATTCAAGTTGTGGAGGAAAAAACCAGACGTCCAAATCGTCGCTCAAGAAGTCAAAACTGCAGCAAATACTGACGGGTTGGCGGGGTGCCAAGAAGCACCTTATAAAGGTACAGACGGGCAAAACGTTAATAAACCACTCCCTCATGTTAATGAAGCAGAAAACGTTAAGGAAGATGTCACACCAGTCGAAGAGAAACCTCAAATCATCGAAGAGGCTAAACAAACTCAACCAATCGCTCAGGATGTTAAACAAGAAGTGCCAGAAGAGACAAAACAAGTCGAAAACACTGAAGTCAAGAAGGAAGAAAAGAAGGAAGAGTCAAAGTCCGACAAAAAGGAAAACAAACCAATCGACATCTCCTCATTCATTCAAGACGACAAGCAAGAGGATGAAAACCTTTTCTAAATCTAAATTTGCTTTTTGATTTGTTTTTGTTTTGAAGCAATTCTCAACTATCAATTAATGATTGATTTTGATAACTTTTTGTAACACTTTCTCCTGTTTTATTCCACTTAATTACACAATGACTTTCATTAAAAATTTCTTTAAAACCCTAAAGAAATATTTATATAGCATTTTATGTACCGAATACAAAACAACGAACTGTCAGCAGTTTGTTCGCGGTTTGTCAATGAAAGCCGTCCGTTGCGTGCTTCAAGGAGA